CTTTTAAACCCGGCCCCGTGATCAGCTGGCGATCAGCTGATCACCGGCTGACACTCAATGACTACAGACCTATAAGCCCTCAAATCTGTAGTCATAAAGTTTTTTAAGCAGATAGTGTCTACCCCCTCCCTCCACCCCCAGCTCGAGTGATTCACCAGTTCAACAACACCCTTCACAGAGTGCTGTGCAAGGGCATCACCTTTGATGGCCTTGCACCCCGCCCACCACCAATTGGACCCAATGCAGTCTGGTTGGCACCTCGGGTCAGTCAGGTCCCACACCTCCAAACTTACAGCTTCTTCCTGAGGACCATCACAAACACTATCCTCTCACACCCCAACCCTGCCCACCCACTTCACCAATCTGAGCCATGGGTGTGAGTAACCCCCATCACTCAGACCACTCACTTATTTTTGTATATATTTCTCTTAATTGTATATATTTTCCCTGTTTCCTATTTATTTCATTTACTACATGTACAATGACAATAAAAGGCTGTTCTAATCTATTCCATGCTATATGAGAGTTTTGTTATATTGAGGGCAAAAATTGTTGAAAGAAGTAATTATTATAGAACAAACACATCATCATCTTGCTTAAGTTTAAAAACCTTATACTCTCAAAATCCACTAGAAACCAACAGAAATATGACAATACGACCTCAGAACTGAAAGATAATAAAAGATGAAAAATGAAGTTTTAGAAATCTATTAACGTTTATACAGTTATCCAGTAATCAGAGTTCATATTCAGTGTGATGGGAAAGATTTCTGTCATCCTCGTACTGAAGATTTCTTCCTTAATGTTTTTGTGACATGCACGATTGTAATAAGTTTTGTTCTCTTTCACCACAAAAGATATGTAACTAACCTCAAGCGTCCATCCTCTGCTGCAGCTCCTCCAGCGATGATCTTGGTAATGAAGATGCCGGGGTCATCACCAATATGGGGGTTATCTGTCCCTCCAGCGATGCTAAAGCCCAACCCTGAGTTACCCTGCGGTCATGAAAATCTCATTGATACCAAAGCAGAACCCATTTTTATAGTGTGGTCAAAAATTTTTCTTATCCATTCACTTTTCTAATTCTCAGTTGTTTATGTAGCACCTGAGGAGGCTTCCCCTGGAGTATATCTACCACTGCAAATGTAATGAATTAATCATCTCTGAATGACAATACTGTATTCACAAGGAAGCAGGTGAACGATGTCTCTCAGAGAAGACAGGCTTGAACCATTTCTGACAGGGCTTCAGTAAACAGAAGACAAACTGAAAGGTTGGGTGCATTTCTCGGGTCATGTATCAGGTTGTTGTTGGCCTTCACAGGACGTGACTTTTATATATTGTTCATCTGCTGTAGACATTTTTGTTTTCAGATCTGTTGTTCCTCTGTTTTCTTAAGGACAAGGTGTACAACATCCCAAGATATGCCGAGTTTACGAGTAAATCAACACCTTTGTGAAAAATACAGGCATTACAAATGTTGTTTTTGCTAAATTAACTGAAGAAATTGCAACAAATTTTGTGCTTTGGTGAAAAGCGCTAGCACTGAAGTTCCCATAATTTGAAAAATTGTTGTCTGTTTTCAAGTTGTCCCATTCACAAACTTGGGTTTCCATGCATGGGTGACAACATTACCCCATCAGCCTTTAACAGGTGAAGGGTAGTTAAGTGCAGGCCTATGTGAATACAAATCTTCTGTTTTTATCCCTGTGCCCTCCTCAGCTTTTTCTCCCTTTGACATCTTCATGGAAAAATGTACTTGTACAAATTCTGGCTAGAAATCCTGATACAACAATATTTCTTTCTGCATTTTGTTTAATAAGGGTTTTAATCAACTTGAGTCTTTATAAAAAAGATTCAATAATTTTCAGGGTTTTAAAACTTTAAATTCCAATTTAAACATTTGAACTTTTTTTGTTTTTTCCAAAAAACACAAAACCCTTATTATTTTCTGATTATTAGTGCCAGATACGCACTCTGGATACCTTCATGGACAAAAATGCCCCCTTCACTTTCACTGAAACTCTCTCTCTGCCACTGCAGTATAAAAACGTGCATTCTATAATGTCTGCATTTCATTTTGAAGAAAAGTACTGATATTTGCAGGTCGAATAATGAAATTACTGTATTATTGTACAGGCGGCCAAAAGAATGATTAGTGTGGATGTGTACGAAATCATTTTTGAGGTATTAGGTGGTGTGTGTGTGTGTGTGTATTGGGTGGTGTGTGTGTAAATGGCCTGCATTTGTATAGCACTTTACTTAGTCCCTAAGGACCCCAAAGCGCTTTACACTAGCGCTGCGGGTGAGTAAGTGCATGCATGTGAGTGCCAGTGTAAATCTGTATTAATTTCAGTGGTGAATAAAGGTCATCTTGGCGGGATATGTTGGATGTGTCTTTGAAGATGCATTTGAGCAACTCATGGCCTTCTGCCTTTGCTGTTCCCTGCTTTGCCTCCTGAGCTACAGCCACCCCAAACAGCAGACATTGATCTGTGCAAATTTGTGCAAATATTTGTGCAACTGCATCCCTCATAGCAAAATTGTTATGGCCCGGATCTGGCCCACACAATGTGCTTACACAGGGCCCACATACCGCAAAGAATGACGGCCCTTTGGTGGCCCAGATCTGGTTTGCCAGAGGTGGCCCACACATGGGCCAGCACAAGGCCAGCTGCAGACACACTGGTGGTCCTGTGTTGGCCCATTTGTGGGTCACCTCTGGCAAACCAGAACTGTTAAACGTAGCACAAATGTTTGACATCAATTTTGTTTGATTCCATTAATGTGGGACGGGGGAGGGGTTGACCTCTAGAAATTGACCTCACCCGACAGCGTGTACATGGGCACGCCGTCAGCAGCTGGAAGCAGATGGATTCAGAATATGCAGGCTTCGTAACTCTTTGACCAGAATTCACTGAACCAGCAGCAAAATAGAAATGTATGGGTCTATTTATTTATTTAATTATTACAGTGACACCCCCCTCCTCCAAAAGAAAAAAAAACAGTTTGGAGAATGAGCTACCAGAACTTTTTCTGTAATTTTACACATTTAAATCTTACAATTTAAGTCCAAAGAGTCGTGCTGACAGATTTCTTTCTTTGTAATAGCAGTCAGCAGTGGCTATGCAGAAAAACAACAAAGTGGGCTGTGTGTATAATGACTAACCCTAACCGCTGGCCTGGAGGTATCTCCCAGGAAGCACTTGATGTGTCCAATGTTGAGAAGACAGTAGCTACTGCTAGTTTGGGTGTGATGTATACATTTCCTTCTCTCACCTCAACCGGTCGCAGCAGATGTCCTTAGCTTTCATCCGTCAGACACACAACAAAGCACTATTTTTGGTAGCGCATGCTAGCGGGCCGTCGTTATTACCGTGTTGTTTGGAAAATACAGCGCACTTAAAATCAATCCTTTGATTTTTCTGAAAGTCGACAGAGCCCCTTATAATCCCGTGTGCCTTATGTATGAACTCTGGTTGTGTTTACTGACCTCGAAACAATTTTATGTGCACGGCGCTCGAAAATCTGTCAGATGTTTCAGTACGACTTTGCTAAGCTACGAAGCCGCACCGCTTGATGGATTGTCGGAGCATTACGGCCAGTGTTGCCAACTCCTCAGTAAGGAAAATCGCTATTGGTTGTCCTAAAAGTCGCTAGAAGTCGCTAAATGACGTCATCACCTAATTTGCATAATTGGTCATGCTAATGTAATTGTAACCTACGCTG